TCTAAACTGGGGATTTGAACTCTTTGAACCAAAGATCAAATTTTTTGCATGATTCTTCTTTGAATGAAGTTAGTCTGACATAAACATTTTCATAAAAGTGTTTTCGCAATAAACGAGGAGAGACAGATAGTGGACGGTACTATACCATCCTTTTCATGGATTCTATCATTCTCCAGTGGGGCAAGGTGTGAACACAATCTCAAAGTTCCTTAAGATGACGCTGCTTCTTGTTGTAAACAAATGGGCACAACAGGCGTTCTCTTCCCGGTCTGGCAGCAAACAAAGGAAAAGTGCATGAATCATTAGCTCCGTTCCAGTCTGAAGGGTATCGGAGCGTACTGATAAGCTCGCCAAACATTCCGATTTCATCGAGCGATACCTTAAATGAGCACAAATCGACTGCTCGTTGCCGTGGATGGCTGTTCAGACTTTTCAAGCGCCAGCGGAGACGCTTAGCGAGGCGATTCGCCTCGACCACGTCATGCTCCAGGTGAGTTCGCTCCACCCATTTGCCACGACTCAGTGCCGAACCCAAACTTTCCGTATGCACCATCCCGCCCATCCAGCTCCGCCTCCAGAACTGAATGATCTCTGTTCTTGGTATTCAGGAGGCACGCGTCGGCGCTTCCAGGTGTTTCCAAGGCCTCATCTTCCTCATTGCAAAGCGATCCAACAGTAGACATTGTGGGTGTTGCTCTATTATTTTTGTGGGGAAAAATATGAGTAACAGAATCACTTTCTTCACCTTAGAGAGATTTATTCATATAAATGGATCTAATTTCAGGAATTGGCCAGTGGTGGACCACAGGAGAGGGACTGGAGGGGAATCGCAACGGCTCTTCTCGTCATTATGGCCATCTGTTCGCTAATCGCTCTGGCTGTATTAATACTAACACCAAGTAAGTCGATTGTTTTCACAAATTCGATGCTCACGATGAGTTGATTTGATCGTTGGTCGAGTTGTGTTACCAGTACATGTCTATAGTTGTCCTCATGGGAATTCTGAAGCCTGATTAGCCCTAAATTCTCCTTTTTGAATTCATTCGGTTTTCTCCTTCCTTTCTTTTGTGCCATGGATGAACAGATTTCACTCCCGAAGTTCAGAGAATATTCGATGACCCGGAAACTATCGTA